TTCAAACTTTGGTATGTTCCATGTATTGAATCCATTAATGACTTACGGCATTTTAACTTACAATGACAGAATTGAGATTGGATTACAACCCACAAAAAGAAATATTCGTAGTTATGTCAAGTCACTGGTTAGATCTATGAGTCTAGAAACGAACACTGAAAGCTAGCCATGGTAATTGATGTTTAAAACCATATGACTACCTGAGGTCAGCTAGGGAGAAAAGCCATGATTTACTATACTACTTTTGGCCGAGTGATGATGAGAGGTCATACAGGTGAGGAAAAACCAGGAAAGGAAGCTAAGTAAATCCAGATGCCAAAGAAAGAAGGAAACACAGAGTGTTATACTCAGGGCAAGTAAAGATAATGTTTCACGAATATGGCCAACCCATTCTCTACGCATCACCTAGCTAACCACATTACATTCCTTCTCTGAGTCAAGATGTTCCATTGATAAAGCCCTCTCTGAATAAGTAGGTGTAGAACCATCGTCTTCTACATCTCCACATCAAAGGGTAGGCCTCAACAATCATCAGTATCAGAGCCATCACTACAAGCCTTGCTTTTCTGTTTATCCCCAAGCTCCTCAAAAAAAAAAAAAAAAAAAAGACCTTAAGGGCCAGAATTATAAGCATAATCACTGGAGTTTGGCAATACATGGAACAAGTGGAAATCAGAAGTTACATGTATAGAAAACATGTAGTGCATTAGAAGGTACAACAATAACTTTACGGTGACTATTTTACTACAGTCCCCAAAATGTGGAAAATCAACAAAAAGGAAAATAAGTGTTGGTAAGAGTAGGGAGAACTCATAGATGAAACCAGTGGACAGAACGCATATAGATAGCTAAGCAGACAGACATAGATAAGGGCAGTTCAGTGCTCAGTAGAATCCCAGAACGAAAACAAATATCAAGATTTGATATCAGCAAATATCCTGTCAATTCTTTCTTTCTTTCAAAGTTGTCAAATAAATAATCTAATATAAAGTTCTTCCATGTATATCAACTTTACTGAAACATTTAAAGGGGGTAACTAGTATGTATAAATACATGTGTTCTAGCTGGTCACTGTATAACTCATATGTACAAATAAATGATTATTCTATTTCGATGGATGCTTAATGAAAATTTGTTATTGTATTTCATTTTAGGATTCTAGTGATAACTAGGCCCAGTATTTTCAGGTCTTCTCTAATCACTAAAGTGCCAAACTTATGTTCTGGGATCAAAATAGAGCTGACTGTGGTAATCACTGGAGACTGTGATTCAGGACACATGTGAAACATTCTGAGTGAGTGACTGCTAAAGGAAATTATCGATTCCCATTTATTTTGTCTCTTGTTGACACACAGTAGTAGTCCCAGTCATGATCCCTTTAAAATTGATTGGAGAGGAGCTGTTAGGAAATGAACTGAACCAAAAAAAAAAAATGGTATTTTGTTGTTGCCTGAATTTGATCCATTTTTCAGAATTCAATGCCTTGGCTGGTTGAAATGGAGGGTCCAAGAGCCCAACTAACACATTCCAGAATTAAATCTATCATTTGTCAATGTGGCCAGTCTTGCTGAACTCAATCAGCTTGAAATGTTTCAACAAAATAAGCCTTGCAGTCCCTGGAAGACCAGAATCTGAGCTTTGTTGAAACAGAAGAGTAATTTTATTTTTACATTGCTAGCTGGACATAGATGCAGTTTTCGTCAAGGATACCTGTACCATCTTTTTCTAAATTCAAACAACAAAAAAGAAATCTGTGCAGCAGGAAATTACTTGCATCATTGGCATGAGGTATGCAATCCTTCTGCCAGAGTCTTTACCTTCTAAAATGTATTGGACACTAATAGCTGTTCTACTCTTAGTAACGTCATGGAATTAAAATTTCACAAGTATATAATTTCTAATTCATCTCTTAAAGTATATGACTAAGGTAACAAGTTTTGTGTTCTTTTATATTCTAGGTCTAGCTAAAATATATCATTTTCCTCGAACCTCCCATGATAGACTTCTTTTACTAACACTACTGAACTGTGTGCCACTGTGTAGACAGTCTTACACGTTCCACATCTGGTATTAGGCAGCGTTTATGTGAGATAGAAAGCATTCCACTGCCATCACTTCCTAGAAAGGTAGCTGTGCTTACACTGCTTATAGACTCATTCGACACGTATACTCTGAATCCCTATAACGAGAACTCTAATTGAGGTCTCACACTTTTAAAGGGTGAAGTAGATGCCTGGCTGCCATTGGATGGTCTACCCCACAGTGCCATATTTCAGTAGAACTCAGGTCAGAAGTTCTGATTAGTCAACCAAATGATGGACTGGGTATTACATCTTTCTTGTACCTTACTGATACAAATTGGTATAGTTATGCTTTAATTGTATTTTGAGAGAAAAGTTTTATCTTAACAGGAAGGGTGATATGTAGGAAGAGCAATGGTGGGAGGAGTAAGGAGAGGAAGAGGAGGAGTAAGGAGAGGAGGAGGAGCTAGGAGACAAGGGGGGGGGTTGGGGAGGGGAACATGGAGACTGTCTCTGCCAGTCAAAGATAGTTGGTATATCTAGGTTGGGTATTGGCTTACACTTCTGATTGTATGGTTACCTTGTTATTGAGCATCACCAAACTTAGAAAGCCTTTGATTAACATTTTAAAAAAAATAAATTAAAATAAATTAAAAAATGATTCTGAGTTTAGGTTTTGTGCCCCCCCCCTTTGTCGTGAGAGTTAAATATTGTAAATCAGTTTGAATTTCATTTGCCAGCTTTATGTACCACATATAAACATTGAGACATGTAGGCCATGTAGTATGTGGGTATGTGTTCAGACTCCAGTCCTTGCATACAGACGTTAAGCTCACTGAACTTAGCCATATCGCTACTGAATTCTTCATCTCCAGATGCTGGGCAGCCATGTTGTATGTGGTGCAGTATTATTACATGGATACTCTACATAGTTTTCATAATATTCTCAGCTGTCATATTTAACTTCTTTGTGATTTTGTTCATATGTCTTCTCTAATTGGGATGTTCTTTACAACTTTCCCAGTTCATTCACTCATTTCTTAATAGAAATCTTATAACCTAACAGCTCTAATCTAGGAAAATTCCCAGACTTTATATATTCAACATTTCCATAGAATACTGCAAACATCTCACTCAAACCTCTTCGGTAATATGATGAAACTGTATGTGTTTGCTTCCTCTATGAAAAACTACATTTCTTGATGGTAGCATTTATTTTGTTCTTTATTGCATTATATATCAACAAAGCTTTCCTGAATAGAACTGTTAAACTGAATAAAAATATGTATTATTTCAAATTGAATTCAACCCATTGAAGTAATTTGTCTTAAAATATATCATCTATCAATTCTTAAAGTTGCATAGCTAAGTAACTTTTATATAATAGAAAAATTTTATGAAAATTTATGAAAGAATGTTCAGTCATTGTCCAAGGCAATTTAGGTTTTAAGTACTCATGTTTTTAAAACTTCAGTGGCTATTAAAAATTATGATTGGGTACTCTAATATGATATGCTAGGAAAGCAAAGGTTTAAATGTTGACATAATGTGTATCTCACTCTAACAAACAAATTTGATATTATATTAACTATAAAAGTTATATGCTAATCTCATGCATTGTGTGTGTGCGCATGTGCGTGTGTGCATGCGTGCGTGCATGTGGGTGTGTGCATGTGTAGAAAGGCTCAATGGCCAAAAGTATCTATGGCTCTCTTAGATAACCAATTTCAATCCCTAACACCTACATGAAAAAGGAAACATCTATAACTCCAGTTCTAAAGGATTTTAAGGATTCTTCTGGCCTCTGGGTTCTGCATGCATGTGCTGCAGACATTCACACAATCAAAAAGCTGACCACATAAAATGAAAGTAAACAAAACTCTTAAAGAGTAAAAGCAAAGATGATATATTGTATAACATGATTTATGTGAGATTAACAATTTTAATAAGTAATATATATGTTTTATTACATTTAATGCATAAAGTATTTGAAAAAATTATGAGGTTATAAAATAGGTCATTAAATATTTATTTAGTTTATGAGTATTATATATAGAAAAAATGTATTCTTCTCACTGGATACTTTGTCCAAAAGCTGTCTGTTTTTTATGGTTTTTTTCAGTCACATAAACAATACAAGCTAGCTCTCCTCTCTCAATAATTATTGATTATAATCAACAGGGAGAATCAACTCAAATATTGATCCTGGCCAATGTTTTGTTTTGAGAAGAAATAGACTATGATTCCTAGTCATACTCAAAGTATCTTATTTGAAAAAATAGGGATCTCCGATCTCGAAACTTTCAGATCTAGTACTTCTGCATACAGACTGCAGTGTTCTCAACCCTGACAGTTCTCTTGTGTTAGAGGATACACTGAAGCCCACTCGGTCTTCTCTTTCATTGAAAATTCATATTTCTCTTTTCGTATGTATAAAACCTTCTATGCATAAAACCCTGTCATGTCAGAAAGAAACAGATACAGCCATCTTAGCCAGTTTCCAACTGTGAAAACCATTAACTCCCTGATTTGTTGATGAAAATGGAATACCCATTGCCCCATATTACAGTATACCACATCCTCTGTACCATTGTTTTATAAGTGTCACATGCATATGTTGCTTTTCCAGGAATCAGATGGACAGTGTATAATCTCTAGTTCATTAGTCTTCAGTGTATCCGATCTCAGCTTCCTTTAGCCCAGTCCCTCTTATCCTGTTCGTGAGGTTCTGGTCTAACATTTATTTGTCTAAATTGAAACCAGGGAGGTTACAGGGAAATGTATTGTTCAAATTCTGTTTCTATGTTTTATGTTGGTAAAAGAAAGAAGCAGTTATCAGAGGCATCCAAAAGCATATGTCTGAAATTCCAGAGTTCCTGGCTAGAATTATTAGGAAAGAACTGACTTGTACAAATAGGAATATGTAGAGTTAGAAACTAATTGCATGTGAGAGCAACCCTGCTTTATGGCGTGTCTTACCTTAACTTCCACATGTGCCATCAATACTGCAAAGTTGGTGAGGTGGTTACAGGAGCATGTAGTATGTGTCTTGTTCGTTGTCAGGAGTCGACAGCCTTGTGTTGACCAATAACCTGTCATGGTGCGTTTGGAATAGCTCCAAAATGAACAATTAGGGTTGAAATTTTCCTCTGACTGCTATGGTGGAAAAAGATCAATAAAGGCAATAACTATTTTACAATTGAGTAAATGAAGTAGGAACTTTCCCTACCGACAGCTCATCCCCATGCTCTGTTGTAATCCTTACAGAGGTATGTTCAGTACTTCCATATTAAGTGGCCCTCATCAATTTGAAGTGAAATTGAATACCTAGTATTTTTTCTGTCTGACTAGAAGTGAGATTACTGTTTTTTCAAAGCTATTCATACCAAAATAGTGTTACTAACACTGTTTTGGAATTGTATCAGCTTTTAAATTTCAAACTAAAGAAGGCAAGTGTTGAAAAAACAATTGTAAAAGTATGATCTTTACCTTATATTTACGACTTCCAGATTTGTAAATGTACAGAAATGTATAATAGCATATGAAATGCTGTCTGCTTCAGTATAGTGCACTGCAGGCTCTTTAAAAAACTGTGTGGTGCATATTTAGAGTATATAGTATTATATTATGTATTATATCTAGGTGTAATACTATTTCTATATTGAAAAATTAACATATCATTTCAAAAAAGCCAAAGTTTATTTATTTTTTCTGGCATATTTATGAATATTTCTGATACTAACCATGAGTGCACTCATAAATGATATATGTCAGATAGTGGATAAATATTAAAAGAAAATTAATATATTTAATATTCATCTGTAACAAATATAAATAATGTACACAATGAAACATGGCCATTTTCTTACCTTGATATGTTTAACAGTAAATACAACAGGATCAGCCAAATACACTTTATTACTGAATTCTTTATTTATTGCTGCTGTAATAACAGGAGAATTGACGATAACCGAATGATTTGTGGACATAGCTTCTGTGCCCAACTTCATACTGGCATTCTCCGTAGACAAATAAGGACCCAGGTTGTTATACAGGACAAAGGCCACTCTAATTTCTCCTAAAATAAATGCAAATGTGAATTTAGAAATTGGAAGAAACAGATTAGTTTCTACACTCTGCTAGAGTTTGTAATTCCAGTTAGGTGATACAGTCAAGACTATATAATACACATTCACAAACATAAAACCAAACATTTGTTAGCTTGGAACCAGAGAATCAAGCATCTCATAAGGAAAGAGAATTTGAATTCAGTTGAGATCACTGTATATGATGTCTTTAAACATTGAATTTGAATCTGAAGCCCTGTCTCACCATGTACTTGAAACTAAATTCAAGATGCTTCCTAAACCCAGAACCAGAACCAGAATCCAGAATCTTAAAGGTTCCAGAACAAAATACAAGATTAACTATTTATACTTTGAAGAAAAATAATGTACATGATTTCAAAAACCCTAGCTATAAAAATGGAAAATTGAACTTTAAAATTTTGAACCTGTTAAAATATACCATCGAGAAAACAAATATGCAAATCAGACTGTGGAATATAGGAGTCTTGAATATCCAGAACATTCATGCTTGTCAACATTACAATAATAGAAGATACCTAAAATTGCCCAAAGATATTAATGGACACTTTAGAGATGAATAAAACAATAACCATTTTCTATTAAAAAATATAGTTGGAATCATTAGCAGTTAAAGAAACAAGAAGGTAAAGTTACATTTGCAATATTATTTTATACCCACTTGACCCTAATGTTCATAAGTATTTGTAGCAATTCAAACCTTTTTACCCTACTGATGGGAACACATAATTTTGCAGTGAAATGGAAATGCATTGACATTTTTTTTTATAAATCTGCAGACATATTGACCATTCCTGGATACATGAGAACATTTACCACAAAGAAAACAATTTACATGAGGCTTTTTACAGAATCCTTATTGATCATAGACTCTATCTTGAAAGAAATCAAATAAAAGAATAAATGTATCACAATACTAGAATATATTAGATGTCAATACAACACAATATTAATGAATGGCAAATCACGACTGAATCTCAACGTGACTTTTTGGATTACTAAATCTAGACAATAGTTCATATTGGGTGATTCTAGCAGTAAGAAGTATAAGAACAGACTGATAATAAAGATCTTTCTTTTGGAGAAGACAGGAAAAGACCAGTAAGTAACACCATGGAAATTTAAAAGTAATAGGAAGCAATTAGTTACCAGGTTGTTGTTCTTTCTGTTTTAAGTTTTATCTATAAAGGTAAATATAACTGTCAGATTTCTTAAAGCAAACACAGTGTATATATTTCATTGTGTTTTAATTATACTGCAGTATAACATAAACCATATTTTTAAACACTAATTGTTTTTATTTTTCTAAGAACTCAAAAATCATTTTCTTTCCAGGCTACCATTTCCACAAAGTCTTTCTACCTTATGACCCTTTTATGATAATTCTCTAACTATGGTAATTTTTATGTTTATTTTTTATCTTTTTGTTGTGTTTTCAATTTGATCATTACTTTCATGGTAAAAGTCAAACCCTACGTCTTATTTCTATTATGAAGTCAGAGTTGGCCAAGAAAGAGGTGCTACCCTGACCACTGCAGTTATGACGATCACAAAGGCAAGCTCTCTGTCTTTTAATCTCAAGGTCAAAAAGAGAAAGAAAAAGCTGGGTCAAATGAGAAACTTTGTGTGTGTGTGTGTGTTTAAGAGGTATGACCATACCACGAATGCCTTATATAAATATATTTATATGTTTATGAAATTGCCTACTTTGGGGAATTTATATACAGAACATGTACACATGCTTCTTTTTCCAACTAGTCTTGCAAACAAGTTTCATGGACACTCCATGCAGACACATCCAATCAGATGTGATGACTTCAAACTCAGATAGAAACCAGCGACTGTATGATGCAGAAGGCAGAGATGTCAGTGCTTGCAGCAGCAGGGTTACTATACACAGAGACATTCTAGAAGTTCGTATGCTACATGGTAGGCTGCTGTTTCATTGCATCCATTGTAATAATCTTACAAAGAGATTGTAATGAAGGCTACATACAGGAAGAGGGGATTCTTATGTTTACCTGTATCTTGTTTATCTACAATGGCAGCTCACTAGATGCTTATCAATTACAGCAGAGAAAAATATTTCCTTCTATATGTAGAATAAAACTCATGATGTTTGAAGACTACACTTAGTATTACTGAAGCATTGTTCCTTTGAGGTCCTATGGGCTTTGTTCCTGTTGGTGTCCTCCATTCCCTCTGGCTATTACAAGATGGAATGACAGTGTGCAACTGAGCATTAAGTGGAACTGTTATGACTGAAGCAGCATGCACCAGGTCTGCAAGAATCTGCACCAGATGGGACTTAGAGCTGAAAGGAGAAGTAGACACATACTTCTATCCCTATACCAGAAGCTATCTCCTATGGATAACAACTTGCAAATGAAAATTAAGGTTTTCCCCAGGGGAATCTCACTGGGGAAATAACCTTCTCTCAAGTGTAGGCTTCATGCCCACCAGTAGATAGCCAAGGGAAAATAAAGTCAATGGCACCAAATGACATGTCTCAAAAAGATATGTCAAAGGCCTTTATTGTTATTGTTGTTAGTTTAATCTTATTTTTATTTTTACTTATTTTATTTGTATATTGTTTCTCTCTTTTACTTTACCCCTTTACATACATAATATGGCTCCCAGCTTAGTGTTCTTAGAGAATTCCTGAGTGTGAGAATGAGTGGGTCTCTGGTTCCTTTTCCTAGGCTCTTATCCTTCTGTTTGTTGGTTTTGTCCTATTTGAATGTGGTAGTTTTTGTTTTATCTTGCTTAATTCTATTATTGTCCCTTAGAAGTCTATTTACTTCATAATGACAGACAGAAAGGGGATGGATCTTGGAGGAATAGGAGGAGGAGAAGCCATCATCAGAATATTTTATGTAAAAGAAAAAGCTAATTTTAATAAAAGGAACATAAAATCAGATGATTGAGAAGCTGCCATGAAAAGAAAACCCTGCTGTAGGACCATGTGTGGTTGGATAATGGACATAATTCAAACTCTTTAGTATGGATCCCAGGTCATGCGGGAGAAAACATACCAAGTGGGACAAATGAGACAGGATGCACAAGTCAGGCAGGGGTGGGCCACCCTCAGTCAGGTGGTTTCTTTCCCAGTGTTATTAGAAGAGAACTGGTGAGATTCCTGTCTGGGAAGGACCCTTTTTCAGTGGGAAATGAAGTTAAAGTGAGGAGCAGGACTTGCAGACCCAGCAAGGAATTGGATACAAGCAACTGTTTTTTGCTGTATACAACCTTGCCACGCTACACAATCATACCACTGCCTTAGACATTTCAGACATGGCAGCGGGAAAATACTGAATTCTACTTTTCCTCTTCAGCGATTTCTAATGCCTTGACAATATTTTATTCTGATGACAGTACACTTAAGTGGTTGATAATTTTAAGAAGGTCCTTTTTCAAAGCTATTTTCTCTAAACGAAGCAACAGTTCTGATTAAGTTAGTACAACCTCAGGTCAACTCTGTATCACCTAACAAGTCGTGAGAAATGGAATTTTATTATTTTTTAAAGATTGTTGAAGCTAAGAACATGCTTTCTTCATGGAGTTACTTGTACATTCACATTCTTTTTCAGTGAATTCAGTTTAGCAGTGCATCGAAGTGACCTGTATATCCCTGTTCCATCTCTCCTCCCCAATTGCTCCCCACAATAAACTTCTGTATATGCTTTTCCAAAGAAAAAAAATCATATACACTTAGAAAAACCTAAAGAAAAAATAGAAGCTTGTAGTTTTCAAAAAAAATTTTAAGGAAAGTTTCAACCAAAATTTTCATCAGTTAGATCTGCAAAATCAATGACAGAGACTCCCAGAGGCAGAGGCAGCATAGTTGAGGCCTGTCGTGCAGAATTTTCCTCATGTTCAAGTTCTGACACTGAGACGTACTAGAGCAACCTCCAAATCTAAGCAAGAATTTTATACACTGTACATCATTGTTGTATTGATAGACCAGTAGGAAAGGGGGGAGGGAAGAAGACAGAGAGAGAAGAGAGGATAAACAGGGAGAGGGGGAGGAAAGACTTCCTGCATGATGGATTTACAGTTCTAAGCCACAAAACAACAAATAGAGAAAAGTTAAAAGCACTGAGCACACAAACAAACTCCAACTTACCATTCCGGCCATTTTGCTTTAATGTATTTGCTGAAAGCTGGATAGTACTTCCATGGCCTGTGTTTTCTGGAAATTTTAGATCTTCTAGATTTCCTTCCGTGCTCAACCTTGCAACTTCTAACTCTGTTGGTAAAACATAGGCGTCAGTGTTTTGTGAGAAATCTGCCGAAGCTACAAGAATTTCTGCAACCTCTAAACTGTTTCTACAGTCAGGAGCTAAGATTTCTTGGTTTCTTTGTTGTGTTAAAGGCATTTGATTTACTCGAAAGTATATAGTTAGTGTTTTCACTTTATTTAAAAAATAAATAAGCAAAGATGTGCAGAAATTATGTTAAGAACTCAAATGTATATCAAGTCTAATACTTAAAATGCAAGTCCAAGTCCTTATACTTTTCAATCTTTGCCTTTTAAGTTAATTTTCAAAATATTTTCCATATTTCATGAATTATGCAAAAATCCTATTCATGCCAGAGATATACTGTCACATCAATATTGATCTACCTACAAATCTAATAAAATATAAAACAGCTTTACCAAACCTCCTGAAGTAAAATTATCAGATACATCCAAAAACACAATAAAAACAGATTTATACTTATTCGAAGGGATGACTCAACTTTCCCGCATTAGCATCATCAGTCAAATGACTTGTTTCTTTGAGAATATAAACTTAAGCATACTAAAAAGACAATCCTTGAATTTAGGAAGTCAAAATTGTAAGTAGTATAAAACCTGCATAAATACATGCCTACATAAAAATTCTGCAAATTAATCTCACTCAAGTAATCTCTAGGTAATACACTGAATATTGAATGCCCTGTGGAGATTAACATGTGTGAATTCTCATCTTGTTACTGAAAGCTATCATACTTTGAAAAATAGAATAACATATACCTTCCAAACCGAAACAAGGCTCATGACTGGGGCGTCAGATTTTTTTTTCTTTCCCTGCTACACAAGTGACGCTAGACCTTCTGTCATAGCAAAGGTCACTTACGAATATTGTCTGTATTCTCCCTGACAATGTCTGTCTTCAAAAGGTTATCGGCTAACACGAAAGCGCTCTCCTCCACGGTGTCTAGCAACATGGTGGCCGCACGCAGTTGATCACTAGTCGTCAGGTCTCTCCAGGCATTCAAAGCTTGTGGCTGAAGGAGGTTGTTAACTGTCTCCACCATCGCCTGGGACGGGAAGAAAAGAATGGCACAGTCTCTAGTGAACCCGCGTAGCTGTCAGGAATCCAGATGTACATGCTGCCCAGCAAGCAAAGAGCAGCGGTGTGCATACGATTACCATTGTCCCGGCCTCCCCTGCGACATGCAGTGGCAGAAACATTCATTATTTTTCTGTAAATCCTTCCCTGAGACTTTTGCAAGCCCATGGTTGTCTTCTTTTGAAGAACAACCAATAGAACCATGCTTGCTTCTCAGAAGCAACAGCGGAGGCTTCAAGTAAGCCTGTGATCGCATAATTAAATGATTTGGCTGAGTAAATAGTGGCCCATAATTTAAACCAACAAGTTTGCATCCTCAACGGAGAACAGGTTTGTACTGTACATCTCCATAAAACCAGATGCTGACCACAGAAAAGACTGAATGAATGACTCCACATAGGAGATGCCAGGAACTTGTTGCCTATAGGTTGTTGACTCATGAAGCAAACATTTTTTCCCCTTTGTTTTATTCTCACCTCCTCCCTTACTCTCAGCCAGCTACAAAAATGTCAGAAAGTATCAAAGCATTTATACCGTCAGTTACTCTGAATACATTTGTGTGGTGTGAAACCTTAGCACTGTTTACCACTCGGAAAGAGAGTAAACAGTTGGACATCATTACCTATGGCCCTGAGGTGTTTCTGTTTTCTTTACAAAGTCAGCAGTAGGTACATCCACACGTAGAGACAAAGTACCACATTTCTCATTGCTGCATGCAGAAGAATAATCTCTGTAGCTACCATTTATATATTCCCTGTGGTTTCCTTTATGTGGTAGGTTACAAAAAGAAAACAGTTCTCCCATGAAGTCTTGGGTTTCATTCAAACACAGAAGCCAGCAAAATAGAAAAATACAACACCTGCAGCTTGAAAGTGATCCTCCCCAAGCCCATTCATTATAAAGTATGCCTCCAATGCAGATAGAAAGGTGACTAAACAGCCAGTGTAGACACAGTCTCTAGGCAGCACATAAGAGTTTTAAAATAGGACGCACATTATTGACATGCAGGCAAAGGGATTGGCTGAGATGGGGGTCAGATCCTTTAAACTGCCGTGTTTTCTTCTGGCTGGTGTTTTCATAGGAACCAAGTAACAACTGTTAAAAATTCAGTTTCATAATGAAACACCTTGGCTGCCAATTAACACCAGTTTCAAAAACTAATTTGCCTCTTGATAAAGTTGTTTTTTTTTTTCCTTGATATTTTCCAAGCTATCCCAACTTCTGGGCAAATTGACATCATTAGACTTTTAAGTAAAATAGCCTTACAACTTGTGTCCTTTGCATTAGTAAACACACACATACACACTTCACGAGCCACCAAAGTGACTTGTTACGAATTTAAAGAGTGAATACATTTGCTTTGTGTGCTTAGCTCTGTCATGCTTTCTAGGTTTGGGGTATGACCTGAGAGTCACACAAAACATTTCCAGACCACAACAGTAGGAGCTGCTTTCCAGGAAGTACTCCTTGGGAATAATGCCAACGGGATATGCCAGAAAACAGGCACCAGTAGATAAAACAAGAAATGCAAGTTTAGATATTTCTGAAGCCAAACAGCGAATATGAACCTATTGGGTGGAGGGAACATTCGTCCTAAGATTACATGTTCCCCAGAATGCATCAGCAATGCTCAGAAAAGTACCATAAAGAAATGAAAGTATCTCTTCTCTTGAAAATGGTGTAGCCATTTTTAGCTGTTAATGACTTCGATGGTCACAAAATAATCTGACATGTAGTATTTTAATCTTACCTTAAAGAATGGGTACTGGGAATACTATAGTATTTCTATACTGTCTTTCTTTGGTTTTAGTTAATTTAAAAACTGCTAAATGATAAAAATAGAAAGACGAAATGGCCATCTTTAACAATGCATTCCAGCAATCTTATAAATACCACGTTTCAAAATTCGACGATTAAAGCCGAGAGAGTGCATAGATGAGTCTGGAGATCAGTAATCCAAACGTCCCAACAATGAAAGCCCAGGCACAGATGGCTTCACTAGCAAATTCAACCAGACGTTAAAAGAATTAATAGCAATTCTTCTCAAGCTGTTCCAAAAGGTCCAAGAGAAGGGAATGCTTCCAAATACGTTTTATGACTGAGCATTGCTATTCTGATACAAAAGCCTGACACAAGCTGCATAGACCATAAAACTACCAGTCATATCCCTGATGGATGTGGATGCATAATTCTTCAACAAAAGGCCAGCAAACCAAACTCAACAGCACATTAAAAGAACCATCTATTATAACCAAATGTAATTTATTTCTGAGATGAAAAGATAGTTCAACACATAAAATAAATTGATGTGATGTACTCCCTTAGTAGAATAAAGGATAATGTCACCTTATTATTTCAATAAATGAAGAAAAAGCATTTAACACAATTCAGCACTTTCCATGATTAAAAGTTACTAGCTAAGCAAGAATAAAATGAAATGACCTAAAAATAATAAAGGTCATATAAGAAAATCCCTCCACTGAAATTATGCACAACACGATAAATTTGAAAGTTTGGCTTCTAAGGTCAGGAGTAAAATAAAGATGCCTACTATAGGTGCCTCCACACAAAATAATTATTTGAGGCTATAACCAGAGCAATTAGACAAGAAAAGGGAAATAAAAACTATCTAAATTGGTGGAAAAGGGATTAAATTACACCCTATTAAAGATTGTAAGAATACATGGGAACTCAAGAGACTCCATTATGAAAAATCGACACTAACATAAAATCTGTGAGAAGCAGTAAACTCAGGTGCCTGAATACAGAAGACCACTTTAACTAAAAACTGTGCCTTTTCATTAGCGCCAATTACTGCTCAGTAATCTTTGCTTTGCAGTTAAAGAACTGTTAAGATGAAATATTTTCATAAGAACACAGTTTGAATACATTTCAGCAATCTTCCCATAGTGTTGATCTGTAATAAGGCGTAATTTTACCCTTTCTCCACCAATTTAGATATTCTTGATAAGGCATGTATTTTTTAAAAAAACTTAAAGAGTTATTTAGTTTGTCTTAAAGACGTGAACCTGTCAACAGGTAGGTATGAACGAGGAAGTAGGAAGTAACCCCATAGCGAGAGGACCTTAGCCCTCACTACTGAATGTTTTATAACAGTGTGATTGAAGGAGAGGTGAGTCGTTGCTTTCACTTGTGTACCTACAGGCTCCTCCAGACTGTTCTAATGCAGTGGTCACACAGATGGCCCTTGTTAAACTCCATGCTTCACACAGCAAACCAAAAAGCCATGATCTTCAATAGGCAGTGTTAGGGATGAAGCAGGGTTGATGGAGATGAGGGAGAAATTACCAGGGCTCAGAGAAAGGGTAAGGGAGATGTACAAAGATGTGTGTGTGTGTGTGTGTGTGTGTGTGTGTGTGTGTGTGTGTGTGTCTACGTGTGTACATGTGTACATGCTTATGCGGATGTGTGAGCCTGCTTGGGCATACTTGTGTGTGTAAAATTGTCAAAAAAAAAAAAGTAAATCAATCACCTACTAATGATTGCAAAGAACTATTAGCACAAAGCCTGATGGAGTCTCCTGTGGCTAACGTTTGAGTAGGAAACTTGGAACCACATTGATAACACTGGAAAAGGGAAGTAGTTCTTCTTGTAACTTATATCCGAATCATACATAATTATAGCTTACTCTTAAATTTACTTTAGCAGGATACCATACTCCATAGTCGGGAAAGGAGCCTCAACTAAGTAAGTGCAATCAAGACTGATCATTTGGTTGCTATAACAACCACATCACAATGAGACCTGGAAGGAATAAGTCTTCTGCAATGTGGACTGATTTTGTTTGTTTGTTTGGTTGATTTTGTTGGTTTATTAGTCTGTTTGTTTAACCAAGACAGAGTTTCTCTGGGTAGTCCTGGCTGAGACTCCCTTTGAAGAACAGGCTGGCCTGAAATTCAGAGATCTGCCTGCCTCTACCACCCAAGTCCTGGCATTAAAGGACTGTGCCACCTCTGCTAGGCTTGCAGTGTAGTCTTATTAATAAAACCTCTTATAACATATAACTCCTAATGAATACATGACTTGATTGATGGCTTGAGGGACAAGAGTGTGGTGGCCTAGAAATCCTTGGAGGCACATGAGAATGGAGGCTCGGGAATGCTGACTGTTCTCCTACAGCACAGCAAACAGCACAGCAGCGTCCACTGTAGCAGTTTTCTAGTTAATACCTGTCAAGTTTTCTAGAAATGGATGAAATACTTGTTACTACTTAAACAAAAGTCAGTTAAATAGCCTCAATTCCCTAGTGAAAAAGAATATAGATATTTTGTTTTCCTAAAATATTTATGTACTTGTTATTTTATCATAAATGATAATATCTGCCGGGCGGTGGTGGCGCACGCCTTTAATCCCAGCACTTGGGAGGCAGAGGCAGGCGGATTACTGAGTTCGAGGCCTGCCTGGTCTACAGAGTGAGTTCCAGGACAGCTAGGACTACACAGAGAAACCCTGTCTCGAAAAAACCAAAAAAAAAAAAAATGTGTTTAAAAAAATAGATGATAATATCTAACCACAACCTGCCTTTTGTTGTTTTAAAACCGGGTTGATTTCTCGCTTCTCTGTTCCCATAGAATTAAGCTTACATGTAGTTTAAATACTAATTGAACGATGAATATACATTGATTTTCTTTAAACTTGGAGCAGATTCTTGAACATCAGTTCAAGGTACAATAGTACTCACTGATTTCTCTTTAATTTTTTTTCTTTAATTTTTTGATGAAAATTTATATTTCAAGTTTGACGAAAATAAGGTTGTCCTGGCTTTGCCTTATAGAACCTAATGTTCTCACCATTTTATAGGACTTTAGATTCAGTTCTGGAAAGGAAAATCTATTTGATTTTGTTGTAAAAATTTTTTTAAAAAATTGATTATAACCAATACTGACCTTGCCAGAAACCAAATATAAATTAATTTATCTTTTTACAAAGGCTTTAAATCTGAATGGA